TTCGGCTTTGTACTTTTGCAATCTTGTAAGAAATTAATGGCAACTGTTGTGGCCACCATTGAAACGTTATTGCTGGTGGCCAACAATGAGGTGATCCATTGTGATAATATCCTCCCCAATTCTGAGCTGGCCACACTGGAACAGTTGCAACGCAAGGAATTGGTTCCATATAAATGATTATTGGTTCCTTTTCCTCCCTTGAGGTGTTTCTTTCCGATGATTCATCTTCATCATCTGAATAGTCATATTCGTCAAATTCCTCTTCCTCATCTTCTTCTGGATTGTAGCTACTCGTAGAATCAATACTGCATAAATCATCATCACATGATTCCTCTCCGAAGTGCATCACTTCTTGATTGTCCTCTTCTTCTTCACTGCTTTGATAATCATAAATATCACATGAACTCTTAATAGACATTTTGTTTGTATATTTGAATTGTCTCGAGACCATCCTTGCCATCAATTAATTTAAAAGACTTTGAAACATCCATCACTACAAGGAAATTACCAAGTTCCTTCATCGGATCACTTAATAAAATTAAGATCCCATTTTATTGATGTGAGAAAATTGAACCAGATAACCTTAAACAAATTATTCACGCTAAAGCTATTAGCTTATTTACACACCTTTCTAAAATTAACTTAATTCCTCTGAAAAAGGCACAACAAATTGATATAGCCATTAGAGGAGCAATTAGAAGAAAACTATATATGGACAGGAAAACACCAACCAGCTTATTCCACTTACCATTAGAAAAAGGTGGATTAGGACTACCATCTATTGTAGAATTTTCTGAAAGAATGAACCTAAGAACCATGACCTTAATTGCTAACAGTAACAATTTACTCGTCAAGAAAGCTTTCAAACATGGTATCAAGCACTGTGAGGAAACGAAAGACAATATTTATTCGAAATGGCTACTAGTACTAAAAGAATACAACCTCACACTTAAGAAAAATGAAATGAAATTCAAGTTGAAAAAAATCAAAACAGGAAATAATTTTGATATTCACACTGACGGATCAAGACTCGAATCAAAGACTGGAATGGGGATTAATATCTATGATTGCTCCAATATGAACACTCCAGTTAGATCTTTATCCCTCCATATTAATGATCAATATTCAAATAATGTAGCTGAAATATGCTCTATTATTACAGCAGCTAAAGTTATCCCAAGAGACTCCAAGATTAAAATCCATACTGATAGTAATGTGGCAATTGAAGTTCTCAAAGAACGATATAAGGGAAACTTTCTACCACTAAAAAAAGCCTTCTTTAAAACCATTAAGGATAGAAAACTTGAATATGAATTCAAGAAAGTTGAAGCTCATAAGGATAAGGAAAATATCAAAGTTGATTTATTGGCAAAGAATGCAACTCTGAAACCTAAAATCTTTGATATCCGTAAACTACTCTTTAATCAATATATCCTCACAAAGAACGATATTATAATCTTTGACTATAAGAGGTTAACTACCTCACAACATTTAAGGCTAATGCTTGACAAGATAGAGAGTCACCCCAATCACATACCTAACCTAGATTGGAACTCTATCAACGTCAGCTACCTTAAATCCCATTTGTCTCCTAAATCTGAATATTATATTTGGAGAAACTCTTCAAATGCCCACATCAATTTTGGTGAGGGTAAAAGTTTCTGTCATGATTGTAACACAGAATCTGACCTTAATCACTATATTCATGAATGCCCTGNTCTGGATAGTGCCAGATACTTTTGCTTGTCAAAAATATCTGATATT